CAGAATCGAGGATTGAACTCAGGCCCTTGTGCTTGCCAGGGAAGCACTTATTCTACTGAGCCATCTCCCCAGCCCAGTGCATCTGCTTTGAACACTGATGTTCTTATCTATAAAATGAGGTTTAGACTACTGGACTATGGCACTGGGGAGCAGGATAAACACATCGTAGAGCTGCCTGACATAAACACATCTGACAAACACACCTGTACCTGCTTGGCACACTGGATAAATCAGGTCACTGTTCTTATTTCTGGAGGCTCCAGGACTTAACTTGAAACCATGGCCTGGATAGGGCCGGGGAAGGCAGTGAAGTGTGGGAGATGCTTCTGACTCCTTGGAGGGAAGAGGACAATCTTGCCTGGCTGTCCTGACCTTTGGCTACTGAACAAACCCTTCTGCAGACCAGACTCACACAGCAGGCGAGGCACTGGTGTAGGAAGACACAAATTCAAACCCTGACCCCTCCATTACCTACCAGCTGTAGCTAGGACAACTCATTTTAGCTCTCTGAGCCTATTTCCCTTTTGTGCAAATGGGGATAACTGTGAACCTCCTTATAAGGCTTCTAGGAAGGTCCAGTGGGCACTGGATGCAAAGGAGTTGGCACAGTATTTACCCCTGACCTGGCCCTGACCCCTTCGTAGGTTTGTCTTCTGTTGTCTCCTAGTGCATGCCACTCTGGATATGGCGCCAGGAGTCTGCCAAGACACTCCTAGGACCCAAAAGTGGTGGGTGGCTCTGCTGAGACAGTGTCCCAACACTGTGTCCCTGTGGTTTCCTCATAGCCCATATTATATGTCTGCCTGTCTGTTTCCTATATGTCCCCACATTCTCCATGGCCTACACCACTTTCCAGCCCCTCACCTGTAAGTATCGGGGAGGAAAGGTGCTGCCCTGGTGGGAAAGTCTTCCTGGGGGCTGTGGCTCATTCCCATTTTTCAGTGCCTGGATACAGTCTTGGGGCCAAGGATGTTGAAGGGAAATATTTCAGATTGAACAAACTGAAGACTACTGTGTGGACATCAGTAGTGGCCATGTCCAGGGCAAGGTTAACATTTGTTTCAGTGCCAACCAACAAGGATAGGCCAGGGCCAGCCAGGTAACTCAGCAGATAAACTTCCTGCTTAGGCAGACACAGGGGCCGGGATTTGATCCCCGGGCCTGTCTTGCTGGCCCTTCCCCTGGAGCACATGGCACTCCTATTATCCCAGCGCTTGGGAGGCTGTAAACAGGAGTACTACTACAAGTCCAATCTATGTAGTGAGACTTGTACTAAATACATTAAAAAAAAAAAAAAAAAAAGATAGGCCAAACTTCATAGCTATGGCCAGTCTGGTCAGGGTGACCAAGTACACCAAAACCTTTATGAGGGATAAAATCTTCTGCTCCTGAAAGCTGCTCCCCTGGGGCTGCCTAGCCAGGAGCTACCTGCCCTCCAGACTGTGGTTCACATCTATTCTACTGACCCTGCCATGTAAAGATGATGAGATTTTGTGTAATGTTGTATTATTAAAGAGAAATGGGTTGAGCTGGGTAACTCTAGGTCTAGCTCATCAACATTTAGAAGGAAAAAAAAAAATTACCCAAGGCATAGCCTATTACCACAATGTCCCAAGAGTCACACACTAATGGCTGCGTTTAATTCAATGATACAATCCACAGAGACTTTTCTCAGTCTGTAAAGAAACAGCACAAATGTTTTTCTCAGCTTATGATGAAACCAACGCGGTCGTGTGGCAGACTCGCATTTTCAAAGATGGCGACCCTACCATCTCCTCCATGGCTCCTTACACGCAGGCCAGCCATAGGACTATGTGGGCCAAGAGAATAAAGTAGAGCCTCAGACCGTAAGAAACAGGGAGCTTCCTGTTCCTGCCTGAGTCAGCCACCATGCCATGAGGGAGACCAAGACAGCTCA